CACTATAATAAGAGACTGGCCAATGTTGAGCCAATTTTTGATTGGCTGGATATGGAATGGCGCAGCCAATCTGTGACTAGTAATATACTAGTTTTCATACTCTGATTGGTTATGCAAAAGTATGTGTCTCGGCCTACACACCTACACATTTAACAAAGTAAGACTTTATGTCCGCCATTTTCTATCCAACTAGAAAGCTGGCCAGTCTCTTATTATAGTATCTCTAGGAATACATCTATAGTGCCTTACTTCAGATGGTCTTGAAATAAGAACAGCCTATGAATATCGGCCCATTGATTGGTTGCAAAAAAGAAAAGTAGTCGAATCTCTTTATCTTGTAGCCAATCATTACGCTATAAATGGCTTGAAATTCCTTGACGTACGACAAATGAAATACTACTTTATGGGCGCAAAAAGTTTAACGGTCTCAAGAAAAATTACTTGATTGTTTCAACTATAATTAACATCGATTACTAAAAAGTTCAGCGAAATAGAGAAATAAAGGTAATACTTTTCATAAGAACTTTCAGAAAATTTTTACCAGCGATTAATAAAGCCTATTCTGTAACTCTTTACGACAGTCGTTATCGTTATAACATTGTTGTGTAGATATAATGTATAATAATAAAGTTACGCAACGACATTATAACAATAACGAAACTATTATTAAGAATTACAAAATAGCTAGGCCTGCAGGAACAAATCTTTCTGCCTATATTACATACTTTATTGATACACCGTTTCCTGTGCATGTACGAAAAATCTAACATTACTACCCTGCATATCCATATGAACTATTACAATACGTTTTAAGTGCTTTAATTGCAACTATCTCACTTATCATTTTTTATATTTTTTTAGCAATATAACGGTTTTATCAAGGAAAAACTTGCATATATGTCAGTATTATACTCAGTGTATAGAATGTTTCCATTGAAAATAATCTTCATGTATAAAATATAAGAGAGTGACATCGTGTTCTTGTTTTAAATACCTTAACCTGTAATAAGTAGCAATAAATGTAACTGTTGTTTTATTATTGCACAAATATTATTTTATCTAACTGTGCAAGTGTACAAAAACGACAGCAATATTTTCTTTGGTTGTCATAGAAAAGGAATGAAAGGTAAAAATTATAAGTTAAAAAATCTAAATATTGCATTTTGCAAGAAACATATTAGGAGATGAAAATTAAGAACATGTATGTATAATATACATATTATGTATTATATATATATATATATATATATATGTATGTATGTATGTATGTATGTATAATATATATACATGTACATACATGTATACAATATGCTTATGTATATTCAAGAGGAAATATGAATCAATTTTTTTTATTAAAGAACATTTATTTAAGCAAATTTTATTTAGTTCTTTATCTCGTTTATTTATAGTTTCTTTGTCCTTTACAGTATATTTTTTAATGATTATGTGTTACAAATTTTTTCAATATGTTGTGTATGAAGCAAAATAAGAACTGTATCGTATGGTTTAAAATGTATATATATTGTTAAATTTAATTAAATTGTGCTATAATTTTAATGCTATTTACATGATTATTTTCAACATATTTTATAATTTGATAATGTTTTTAATTTTCTTTTTAAAGAATATTGTGTTATATAAAAAAAGATAATTTTTTTAGTGAATAATTATTGAACTAAATGTCAATGCTTTTTAAGAATACTTACAATTAGTAGTAATTCATTCATGCAATTGATCACTAACTTTTAATTACTAATTATTATTGGTCTCCGATTTTTTAAGCGTCATCAAAGTACTTATATTTTTATTTATTATGTTTTCAGATGGAGATTATAGAAGGAAAAAAAGATGGATCTCAATTGTATGTTTATAATAATTATAGCTATTGTAAGGATAATAGATATGATAATATTTATCGATGCTCAAAACGCAGAACTGAGCATTGTTCTGCTGTATTACGAAATGAAGAAGAATATTTATTTTTGGATGTAATGCACAATCATCCGGAAGAGCTATATATTATAGAAATTAGTCATATGAAGAAACAAATGATTCAATTATGCAAAGAAACGACAAAACCTTTCAAAGTTATATTTGATACAGTATGCCGCACTAATTTATTAGCTGGTGCATACATTTCATATAATAGTATGAAAACCATTTTCAGCCGTGAAAGAGCAAAATCACGCTCAAATATTCCAAATGATTTATATTCTTTGCACCAACAATTAGAGATGTATGAACCTACACGTAGCATTTATAAAGGTTGTGCAACATCAATCGATAACAAAATAGCACTTATTTTTAGTAATAATACTCTATTAAAGTTATTATCCGAAGCAAGTGAAATTTTTGTAGACGGAACATTTTCCGTAAGTAAATTAGATATATGTATATATGGATACATATATATATGTATATATATTTTATGTATATATATGTACATATAGACATAGACGTATATAGTTATTATTTTATAATATTTACAAATAATATATACATACATTTATAGGTTGTGCCAAAACGTCCAAATATCACTCAATTGTATAGTATACATGTTCGCATTGCTGATATGGTAGGTATTATTAAAAACTTTAATTGTAATATGTATTGAAATATATGTATCATACCTAGATAGTTATTAATATAATTCACTATTTCAACATTTATGTTGAGCATTATCAGTAGCTAAAAAGATATAGGATAATATAAGATATAAGTACCAATTTCTTTACATATTCCTATTATAATAGAGTATATTTATAATAAGGATAATAAGATTACACTAATTATAACTAAAACTTTAACATGCAAAAAAAGAATATCTATTATTATTATGTTTATATTACAAATTTTATTATTATTTACAAATTAAATTTTTAAAAATGTTCGGGGTTAAGAAAAAATATAAAAAATTTAAAAATAAGAATTTTTACTTTAATTGCTTTACTTTCTAATTATTTTCCTTTTGTTTCACTTCTTCTTTTCGCATTTCCTTTTTATCATTCAGTACAAGCAGAATAGTCGGTTGCTGAATACTATCTGTGAATTTTATAAACTATTTTATTATAGGGCATAGCAGTAGTTTTTGTGCTATGTGAAGTACGTTCTGTCTCTTTATACAAGGCAATGTGGCAGAAAATCGTGTCACTTGCACCTGGCTTAAATGAAAATCTAAAATTCATTATGGCGGATTATGAAAAAGCAGCTATGACAGCTATGAATCAGCAATTTCCATCTGCCTCTATTCATGGTTGTTGGTTTCATTATTCACAGGTACATTTAATATAATTACAACAGTAACTAACATTTAATTATACATTATGTTAATAATAAATTCATTTTTTTGTTTTAGGCGCTTTATAGAAAATGGCGACGCCTACAGCTAAATAGTGCACTTCGCGAATTGTTATCCATGGCTATGTCTATGGCATTAGCACCTAGTTCTTTATTTTCAGATTCATTAAATATTATGCAAAATATTGCAGATCGTGTTTCTGAAACTTATCCAAATGTATTATTATTTATGGCTTATTTGCGAGGCACTTGGCTACCTATTGCATCCAAAGTATCTGTACATAATTGTCCCGTTCGTACAAATAATTTAGTGGAAAGTTTCCATCGCACTGCAAATCAAAAAATTGGTACAGCTCATCCAAATTTATGGGTATTTTTAGGTATGTGAATAATGTATGTGTGTGTGTGTGTGTGTGTGTGTGCGTGCGTGCGTGCGTGCGTGCGTGCGTGCGTGCGTGCGTGCGTGCGTGCGTGCGTGCGTGCGTGCGTGTGTGTGTCTATATATATGTATATATACGTATTGTAAATATTATGTATGTCAAATATTATATATAGTATATATATGGTTATACAATATACATGTATAGAATATCTTAATAATTATTAGCATCTTAAATATACTTCTTGGAATATATAGAGGTGTACTGGAAGGTGTAGAGGGAAATTTGTGTTAAATTGCACGAAGAGGACTATTATGTGACGATAATAATTTTGTCCAGACGCTTTGGAGATTTTAAGGTCAAAAGAAAACATATAGTTGCTTTTAAAAAAATATGTAAATGTTTACATATTGTTTTTTGAAAGCATCTGTAGGTTTTTTTTATACCAATTGAATCATTTTATTATTTGGTACATAAAAGTATCCAAGTAAAGTTATCGAAAAATTAATACTTTCCAAGATATTTCATGATTTATCATGCCATAAATTTTAATTTTTTAATAACTTTACCTTTATACTTTTACGTACAGAATAATAAAATGAATCGATTGGTATAAAGAAAACCTACAGATGCTTTATAAAAAAAATATGTAAACATTACATATTTTTTTAAAAGCAACTATATGTTTTCTTTTGACTTTGAAAAAAACTCCAAAGCGCCTGGACAAAAATTATTATCGCTACATGATAACCCTCTTTGTAACGTGCAATTTTGTTTACACAAATTTTTTATAAACTTTTTAGATTCCAAGATAAGGTGCTAAGTTATTAAGACATTCTCTGTATAAAAGGTGTCCCGAAATTCGCGAATCAAAATATCGTAGCAAGAAAGTCTTCGAAAAATTAAATAAAAAAGTTATTTGTAAGTTATTTGTGTTTTTATTTTAGTAGTTTTTACGCGCGTGAAGTGCGCAACTACTGACGCATTCATGTATGTACATGTTTTTGTTTAATCGTTATCTATAATTGGCTAAATTTAATTCTTATATCTCAAAAATTATTGCTTAAAATAAAAATTTACAAATAACTCTCTTACTTAATTTTTCGAAAACTTTCTTGCTATGATATTTTGATTTGTGAATTTCGGGATACCCTGTATAGATATATACATATGTACAATGTATGTACAATGTATGTACAATGACATAACTTAATTTTTTTATAGAACATTTGTCGGAAATTATAACAAACCAAGAAATTGATTATTCTCGCTTGCAAAATAATGTACGTGTTAGACGAACACGCACACGATTTAATAAACAAAGAAATATTCAAATTAAAGAAGGGCAAAGTGCTCTTATAAATGGTGATATTTCTTTAGAACATTTTTTACGTATGTTTTCACGATTTAAGATCGGAAGAGCACA